GGTTAAGAGCACTGCACTTCCAGAGGTCCTGAGTTCAATTCCCAGCAACCACATGGTGGCTCACAACCATCCGTTATGAGATCTGGTGCCCTCTTCTGGTGTGCAGATATACATGGAAGCAGAATGTTGTATACATAATAAAAATAAACAAAATCTTAAAAAAAAGAAAAACCAAAAACCAAACCAAAAAACCAGTTCATCAAAGGTCCTGGGGCAGGCTCTAATGGCTGCATCTGCTGTAGCCTTGTCCCCCGCCTTCTTGGGTTTAGGTTCCTTCCTAAAGGCTTACAACTGTTTCTAAAGGTGTGTACCCCCATCAAATGGTGCATGGTGCTTGAGAGGACAGATGATACTGAGTGCCCTTTGCTCTGGGTTCAGTGGGATCCAGATGGTATTCTGACTGGATGTGGCCAAACTTCAAGACCTTTCTGCCCAATGTGGGTGGGAACAGTAAGGACTGTCATCTGCGTGTTGAATATAAAGCATGGACTTGGAGGGTCCAGGCAGGGCCTCAAGACAGAGTCAATTGACCTAGCACTGACCTTCTCAGTCGGCTGTTGGAGGATGGGCAGGCTCTCCTGCAATCTGTCCAGCCCTCGGTGCGCGTACTCGCTGGCCGAAGCAACTGCAGGGCACAAGAGAAAACACACCCACTGTAAGTGCCCTTCAGAGGTGGGGAGAGCCACCTAGAGCCAGTTTCAGAGAAACTGAGGAGTCACCCCCCTCCAAAAATGGCCATGAGAAGCATTCTCCACACCCTGGGGTCCTCAACTCACTCTGGGGCTCCAGCTTGGACAAGATGGGCTGTGCCCCACTGACCGCAGCCGCAGTGAGGGTCTTGACGCCTTTCTCAGCCACATCACACACGGTCCTCACATGGGGGTATCGGTCCTTGGTGGAGGTGTATGCTGCGCTCACCATCTCACACGTGGAGCTGATGAGAGGCAGGCTGGCCATGCGGTCCACCACGCTGGGCTGAGGGCAGGAGACTGGGCTAGGAGCTCGGGACGCCCACAGGCCTGCTCTCATTTTGGGGGAGCAGGCCAGCAGGGCTCCATCATGCCTAGTAAAAACAACTGCACAAGGCAGGAACCTGAAGGTTCCATCACGTGCTTCTGGTGGCTTACTTGTTTGAGCATCAGACTGGCCACCCAGGACAGACTCAGGCAGTGCCATGACAAAGGAACCCCATTTCTTTTGTTTTCTTTCTTTCTTTCTTTCTTTTTTTTTTTTTTTTTTTTTTTTTTTTGATTTTTCAAGACAGAGTTTCTCTGTGTAGCTTTGGAGTCTCTCCTGGAACTCGCTCTAGAGACCAGGCTGGTCTCGAACTCACAGAGATCTGCCTGCCTCTGCCTCCCCAGTGTTGGGATTAAATGCATGCGCCACCAACGCCCGGCGGAACCCCATTTTTGTTAGTGCACTGGTGTGCCACATAACAGGCCCTATGTTACAATAAATCTTTCCGCCAAAAGTCCTGAGCGCAAGCGCCACGTGTGAGCTTTACGCCAGCCGCCCGCCCGAGTTAGGCCCAAATGAATACACAGAAACTTGTATTAGGTACAATGCTGCTTGGCCAATGACTAGGATTCTCATCTGTTAGCTCAGTCTTAATTATCATAAATCTATATATTTTATAAGACTTATCTTATCGGACTGCCTTGTTGGCATCCCTCCTTGTGGATCACATTGTGCTGCTGGAGCCCTATGTTCCATCCCCAACCCTAGAAACTTGGGGGCCATGGCACATGATGTCATTCAGCATAGACCGGAACCTCAAGGGTTCTATTATGACTGTGGTATCCTGGGCTACATTGTGAATTGGAGGTCATCCTGGGTTAAACGACAGTCTCAGAGACACAGAGAGATGGGGAAAGAGAGTTGGGGAGAGACAGAGAGATGGGAGGCAGAGAAGCATGTAAAAGGAATTCAAAATCATCCTTGGCCATATAGTGAGTTTGAGGCTAGCCTGTGCTACATGAGACCCTGTATTGAAAGGAGACAAAGGATGAAGGGTTAGGCATAGGTGTCTAATCCCCAGCATTCAGAAGGCAGAGGTAGGGGCAATCTCTGGAAGTTCCATGATAGCCTGGGCTACATAGTGAGACCCTGTCTCAAGCTAAAAGAAAAAAAAAAAGAAAATGAAGGAAGGAAGGAGGCAGACCTCCAGACTTCTCTCCTGGCTGCCCCTCCCAGACCCCAGCAGTCTGCCACAGAGAACTCTCAGAAGTTGCAGGGCTCCCTGCAACTCAGGCCCCTCACCTGTGGGACAGGTTCTTCCACAGCAGCCTGGGCTTCAGCAGGAGCATCTGTCCCATTGCTAGACATGGTTTCAGCAGCAGGTGCTTCAAGCAAAAGAGAGTCAAATGACAGCCTGCTCCATGAACACAGGAAGCAGGGTTGATCTATGAACCTTCAGCTCTCTCAGAGCCCTGTCACTGATTCAGAAGGTCCAAAGTGGAGCCTAGCTCACCACAGCTCCTTCCCAACCCCTGACCCTTTTGGTGCTGGAGAGCCAAGCCACTGCCCCAGGCACTCAGCAAAGCTGCACCCTTGACCACTCCCCCAGCCCTGCACAGGGGGAGGAGGGGTGCTCCACCCTCACCACACCCCCAACCTCTAACTTTAGAACTCCTAACTCCTGATGGTTGTGACAGGGTTCCCAGGTCTTTTTAATTCCAGCACTCGGGAGCACTGGCAGGCAGATTTCTGTGAGTCCCAGGCCAACCTGGTCTGCAGAGTTAAACCCCCTGTCTCTAAATAAATAAATAAATCTTATATTTATATTTTGGTTTTATGTGCATGCAGTAGCCAGAGTGCAGGAGAGGGTGTCAGGTCCCCTGGGACTGGAGTTAGGTGGTATGAGGCACCTGAGTGCATGCTGGTAACCGAACCTGGATCCCCTGAAGGAGCAGTGATCGCCCTAACCACTGAGTCAGCTCTCCGGCCTGATTTTATCTTCACATAGATGTTAGAAGATCTGGGAAAATGGGGAGACTAAGGACAGGTTTCAGATAGAGGATGGGGGTAGAAGGTGGGTCCCTGATTTTTATTATTATTATTATTTGTTTTTCAAGACAGGGTTTCTCTGTGTAGCTTCTCCACTTGCTCTGGAGACCAGGCTGGCTTCAAACTCAGAGATCTGCCTGCCTCTGCCTCCCGAGTGTTGGGATTAAAGGTGTGCACCACCAACACCGGGCCGGGTCCCTGAATTTTAGGCCAGGTAAGTAATCCTATTCAAAAACCAGGGGCTGGGGTTAGTGGGCAGAGCTGGCATACCCCAGTGATGCTACCAAAACCACACAAACCAGGAGTGGTGGCACACACCTGTCACCCCAGCACTTAGGAGGAAGGTCAGGACTTCAAGGTCATCCTCAACTATATCATGAATTAATTCTAGGACAGTCTGGGCTACATAAGACCTTGTCTCAAAAAATAGTTTTGAACCAATGAGACCACATCAGAGGGAAACTCGAGTCTCAGCTCATTGAAAGCAGAATCAGGATAGGCCATGCTGTCTCCACCAGCACCATTGACTCATATCCACACTGAGTCTAAAGGTTGCCCCTAATTCAGACCCTGGTGCCCCAGAAAATTTTGATGTGACAGGTCTGAACCCAGTAACTCCAGAACACAGATTCTGTTTTGGAGTGTGTGTGTATACACAATGTTTGAGGTGGTTCCCTGGGGTCTTATCACATGTTAGGTAAGCGCTGACCACTGAGCGACACCCCCAGCCCTCTTTCTGTTTCATTTTCTACATTTTATTTATTGTTTATCATGTGTCTATGTTAGTGTATGCTTGCCATTGTGTGCCTATATGGAAGTCACAAGATAACCTGTAGGGGTAGTTTTTCTCATTCCACCATGAATTTTGGAGGTCAAACTCAGGTATCGATCTCTGCCAACTCACTAGCCCCTGATCCTGACTCTGGAGACCCCTGGAAGGAGCTCAGAGGGCTCAACTCCTTGGGAAGCTTGCTTGCCATTATCTATAGCTCAGACTCTCTGGTGGATTGGATGGTGGCGTCTGTCAGATGCTCAATAAACCGGTCTGGCATACCGCAGCCTAACTGCTGATAGTGAAGGCTGCAACTTCCGGTTTGTGATAAAGGTTTCCCAACAGAGCAGTCAGGTGATGAGGGTCATGCTTCAAGTCTTGTGATCACCACTTAAGCCAGGTTACTGTCGCCTTACCTGGTGGGCAGCAAAGCCTAATTGACCCCTTTGAAGTCAGTCAGACACTCCTGGAGCCCCCCACCCCAAGCAAAGGGTGGCCACTGTAGATAAGCACTTTCTTAGTTCTTGGGGGTCTGTGACCTCTGTAGAGCTGGCTCCAGCTGCCAGGAACTGACCGACCCTCTCACACCCCGCCCACAAGATTACTTTCTCTGCTGAGAAAGCCAGAGAAGCCCCCAGGGTCAAAGACTGCTGCGTGTAGCCAGGACTTTGAAGTGGTCAAGGAAGTCTTTCTGCCTGGTTTAGTGACAATGCTGTCATCTCAGCATTACTGGTGGAGGCAGGGGGATGGCAAGTTCCAGGCCATCCTAGTTTACAGAACAGGCCCATTTCCAAAACCAATTACCAAAACAGAAACAAAAGACTGAATCAGAGATTCCAAGCGAGGGCTGCACCAGGCCCAGGGTGGAACAAGCCTGGCTTTATGCAAGGGTCCCTCCCCCTACACTCCCCACCCTACACCCGCTCTAGGTCGGGACCAGTGCTGGGCTGGTAAAACTATTTACAACCGAAGCAGCAGGATTGATTGATTACTCTGAAGGACAGGAGACTCGGTACCGGGAAAGGAAGGTGGAGTTGCAGGCCAGGAAGCGTGGGACGTGCGTTTGAGCACAACTCTTAACTCTGGAGACCCAGGACGGTAGAAGCCACCTTCCTTGACACTCAGGAACTCATTCCCCACCTCCAAAGTCCCAGGGTGGCCAGGCCAAGCAAGAGTTGCAAGTGCTGCAACAGTTGCAGCCTCCGGCAAAAGTTACTCTCCTATAAAAGTGGAATTTCCTAGCGTGCAGAGATTTGGGAGCCTCTGACCCTCCCAGGAAAGCCTCGTGTCTCCCTCCTCCCCAGGGGAGCCCCAAGATCGACCCTGGGCCCCCCAACTCTCACCAGAGTCCTCAGGTTGTCGAGGCAGGGAAACCGAGCCCTCCCAAAGTCAGTTCGGATCTGCCCTGGAGGGGCGGGGCGGCCCTGTGGATCCCGTGGGGGAGGAGCTTGAGAGTGACGGGACAGAGGACCAATAAGAGGGCCCTGTGACTTAGTCCCGCCCACTTACCCACCTTTCTCAGGAGCCCCAGACCAGGTTGCCTGTTAGTTGAGTCCTCAAAAGACCTAAAGTTCTGGTCTTTTATGGAAGGGGGAAGGAAAGCCTGTCTAACGTCCTTTCCTGAGAGTTTAGGGGATCCTGGCATCCTTCATGTTTCCATGTTTCAAAGAAGGTTGTGGATCCAGGGATAGCTGCGACATCTTCAGATACGCCAAGTGATAGTCTCCATCCGAACTCTGGGAATCAATAGCCAGGAGTATACACAACCTCGATAGGGTTCTAAATGAAAGCTTGCTCTCTCAGCCAGCCTGAGGCGCTCACCGTGCCGAGGCCTTCTGGTGGGCGAGGTGGGCGCTGAGGCCCAGGAGATGGCTGGCCACCGTGGTTCCTGGACTCCTGTATCAAGCAGTCCCTGAGGCTGCCCGCCTTCCTGAAATCTTTCTCCCGTTGTCTGTAAGCCAAGGGGTTAACCTCAGACGGCCTCAGGGTGACCCTATGTGCTGCTCCCCAATCCCTCAGGTCTCCAGTGGGGGGGAAATGTGCATAGGCGCTTGCAACTGCTCATGCGCCAACGTGAGCCCAACCTGGGGAGGACCCACCTTTACTGAGGTACCTCCAATCTTTCCTGACTTCTTCCCCGGACCTCCTTTTTCTGGGTTGCCTTGATGACTGAATTCCTCTTCTTCCTGTTTCCACTGAACAGTGATGCCTTCACAGGGGCGGAAGACGGATGGGGCACGCTGCCGCTGGTGACGCCCTGACCCACACAGCGCCCCTTCGCTCTGTGCCTTCATGGCATGGCGCCCTTCCCTCTGTGGCCTCCACCCCGATGATGCACTTCCCCCTGTGCCAGCGAGGGTGTCCCTTTCCTCTGTGACTTAGCAGGCATGTACCATTAACTCTGGGCCTGGCCTGTGGTTCATTGGCTGTGTATATAGGCATTCAACACCTACTGTATACCAAGGTTCTGCAGGGTAGCCCTGGGGACATAGTCTGGACCCTCTTGGCTTGGTAGCACTCAGTCCAGTGCGATGACAGGCTGGCAGGATAGCATTAAGACTTAGGAGGGTTGAGCGGTGGTGGCACACACCTATAATCGCAGCACTCAGGAGGCAGAGGTAGGCGGATCTCTGTGATTTCGAGGCCAGCCTGGTCTACAGAGCCAGTTCCAGGACAGGATCCAAAAGCTACACATAAACCTGTTTGAACCCCTCCCCCCCCAAAAAAAAAGACTTTAGGGGAACAGTCAGAGCTACATAGTGAATCTGTCTCAAAAACAAATAAAACAATAATTGCTAGAGTTAATTCAAGAAATATTTAAAAATTGAGGTCAGACAAGAAGAGCACTCAGGCGTCATGTCTCTCTACCACATGGTGCCTGGGGATTGAACTCAGATCTTCAGAACTGGCAGCAAGCTCCCTTCCTCACTGATCCATCTTGCTGGCCTCCAAGGAACTTTTACTTTGTCTCACTGAGGCCATCCCCCTGCCTCAGTCTCCCAGTGTTGGAATGAGAGGCATATGCAACCACTCTGGCAACTTTTAATTTTAGAAGAAATTAGGGGCTGGGACAGACTGCTTAATCAGTACACACCAAACTTGGGTTCCTTCCCCAGCAACACATCCACCAGGTGTGGTGCATGCCTGTCACCCCAGCACCCTGGAGCTAGGGGTAGGGGGGGATGAGGAGGGTCAGTTCAAGGGCAGCCTGTGCTAAATGAGTTTGAGGCCAGCCTGGGATGCATGAGATTTGAGGCAGGAAAAACGAAGATCCTAGATAAAAGAGAGCTCTCCCTCTACAGTGGCTGAGTCCTGATGTCAACCTGTCCCCACTCATTGAAGGACACATTAACAGCCTCAAGTCCTTGCTTTTCATTCAGCAACCTAATGGCCAGATGCTGTCCACTTCTCCAACTCATGTGGCCAGTGTTTTTTCCTTCTCACCACAGGAAACTGAGGGACATTTAACACACAGGCCCTGGCTGTCCCCGACCTCCTTGGCCTCATGGCACCAGCTGCTCACTGTCTCCTGTGAGAGGCAGTGGTGGTGGCCGGCTTGGGGGAGGGGCATAGCTCTGAGACCCATGGCCCACCAGGCTGGTCTAGCTTCTTCCAGGCCCCTTGGGCCTACTGGTCTCCTTTCTCTGGCCACCACATGCTGGCAGCTCCAGCTCCTTTGAGAGGTAGCCACTAAGTCTCCTTGGTTTCTTGTTTCTCTGGGCTCTGAGACAGACCCTGCAGGGTGCCTGGTGGCTCCTGAGGTGACTTAAAAGCAAGCAGGCCAGTGGGCAGACTTCACTTTGTAAATACCTTGGCTGGCCCAAGGGCTGTTCCCTATGGGGCCTGTAATCCAATCCTTCGGGGACCACAGTCCTCCCAGTCCCCAGAGAGGGCAGCCTGGCCCAGGTGACCTGGCTTGCCTGGACACTCAGAGCACTGCCAGCAAACAGGACATCCTGGTCATGTTATCATGCCAGTGGGGACAAACTGTTCTTGCTGTCTCTGTTCCTGGGTGGAGACTGGGGACTGCTGTCCGGGTGACCACCTTGAAACTGAATAAGCGAACATGGAGGTGTCACCTTGGACTTGGGAGTGGGGCATTCTGGTCCATAGGACCCTTAGAAGTCAAGAGCTTCTAATTGACAAGAACAGTGCTTCTCCCACCAGCCCTAGAAGGTGGGGAGACTGATCATAGCACTGTTGGTTGGGGCTTGCAGTATGGACAGTCCCTGGGTGGCAGCTGCAGCCAGTGCTCCTCCTGAGCTTGCAGCTGTGTGAGTAGCTTAGGTTCCTGGGAGGGGGGTTATTTTGGGGTTGGAAGCCAGGAAGAATGAGGGGCCCTTCCATGGGGGACAGGAAGCAGGGTGGCCCCAGCTGCCATCTCCCATTGGCCCACCTGGCATGGTGGGTGCCATCAGTCACCACACAGGAAATGTGGTGTGGGTCACTGAGTCTCAGGGCGGAGGGGGAAGGAGTCTCCCTGTGAAAGTTGCAGAGCTGGATAGAATGTTCCAGAAAGCCTTAGCTGGGTTGTCATGGCAGCTATGGCATGAACACTGACACAAGGTCTCACATAGTCCAGGCTGGCTGGACTTAAATCTCCCAGCCTCCCCAGTTCTGGGATGATAGGCGTGCATCACCATGCCTAAGGCCTTGGAGATCTCTGTTTAGAGGTAGATACTTAACCCATGGGAACTTGGCCCACAGTGGCTTTTCTGCCAAGACTTTAGAGACATCTTTGTTCCATTCAGACTGGATCTCACATAGCCCAGGCTAGCCTGGACTTGCTAAGAATGCTGAGGCTGGCCTTGAACTCCTGTTCCTCCATCCCATCTGAGTACTGGGATGACAGGTGTGTGCCATCACACCGGGATTATGTGGTATCCAAGGATAGAGCCCAGGGCATTGTACATGCCCAGCTAGTCCTGGGCCCACCAGACAAGCAACTCACATAGAGTTACAATACGCTTTTAATATTTAAAGTCGGGGCATTCAAACCAGTTAATCCTCGTTTAGTGACTCGTCCACCTGGGGGCAGCTGGCCTTGTCTTCCCTGGTGCTGGTGATGACGATAGGTAGACGGGCTTTGACAGTTGTCAAAGACCAGGGGAGGTGGATAGTGACTACAAGCTCATAGCTGGTCTGCATAATCTCGTTCTCCTGGGAGCCACTACTCACGGACAACACCAGCGGCAGGGTGAAAGCACTGACCACCTTGGTGCTGTTGAAGGCCGGGATGCGAGCATTGGCCATCTGCCGAAGCAGCTCACTGCTGTCTGCCCGCCGACGCCGCTCGGCATTGGGTGTGAAGCCCTCATACTGCACATGGGCATAGAGGGCGAACACCACGGTCTTGATGTACTTGCCCGTGTTGTTGCGGATCTCCGACGTGAATGTCACCTTCTCGCCTGGCACGAAGATGTTCTTGCCCATCTGCACCTGCAGGGTCACCCAGCCCTGCCTACAACAGTTGTAGGATACTTTCTTCTCAACTTCCACCAACAGGGGGTTCTATAAGGGAAGAGGATAGACCTGCTGAGGACTTATAGCTGGAGCTCCTGCAGGCTGTGGGGGACTTGGGACCCAGACTTGTGTCTCTCAGACTTGTGTCTCCAGCAAGGGACCTTGGAGTACCAGGAGGCTCAGATTGGAAGATGGATTTATTCAAGGCCAGCCTGGGCCACAGAAGGGACAGCCTGGACAACAGAATGAGCCTTTTTGTTTTTGTTTTTTGAGACTGGGTTTCTCTGTGGCATTGGGGGTTGTCCTGGAACTCACTCTGTAGACCAGGCTGGCCTAGAACTGACAGAGATCCGTCTGCCTCTGCCTCCCAAGTGCTGGGATTAAAGGCATGTGTCACCAACACCTGGCACTTCTAGGAGTGTTTAAGAGGCTTTTTCCATTGATTTCATCCAGCTTGAAAGCCAGATGTCTCAGCTCCCTTGAAAGTATAATTGTTTTTGAGTTGATACCAGCTTTAGTGCCATATTCCATGCATTTGTACAATGATTTCTTGTCTGTATTTACTATGTTGCTTTATTTCTATTATTACTAGTTTTTTTCGATACAGGGTCTCTGTGTAGCTATGGAGCCTGTCTTGGAACTTGCTCTATACACCAGGCTGACCTCAAACTCACAGAGATCCTCCTGTCTCTACCTCCCAAGTGCTGGGATTAAAGGTGTATATGACCATTGCCTGGGATTAAAGGTGTATACGACCATTGCCTGGCCTATTATCACTATTACAATCATGGTTGTCACCACCATTGAGACAGGGCCTCACTGGGTAGCTGAGGTTGCCCCTCTTACACACTGCCATCCTCCTGTCTAAATCTTTCAAGTGCCGGATAACAGGAGTACACTGCTACACCCAGTTCACGAGAGAGACTTTCTCAGAGGTCATGACCTGTGATTTGAACGACACAACCTATGGGGTAGGGTGGCAGCTCAGAGATGGATCAATGGGCAAAGGTGTCTGCCACCAAGCTGGAAGACCTGAGTTCAATTCCAGGAGCCCACGTGGTGGAAGAAAAGAACTGACTCCGACAAGTTGTCCTCTGATGCACATACACTTGCTGGGGAGCCCCTCCAGCATCGTAAATAAATGTAAAAAAGAAAGAAAAAGTACAGTCAGTTTCACAAGCTGTCCTCTTAGGGTCAAGGGTATAGCCAACCTTTGACCTTCCGACATCATCTCCCACTGTCAAACCTCTGATGCCTGTATCTTTCCAGGGTTCTCAACAACAGCTATTGCTCTCTGCCTGGTACTCCAAGGCTGAGAGAGCCCCTTGGAGCCCTTCCTATGTGTTGAAAACTTTGTCTTCATGGGCACAAGTGGGCTTCTGCAGGCCTCAAGGACCCCATTCCTGTAAATGAGGACAAAGCTGGGTTCACACATGGGCTTTCTCTCCATGCCTTCACACTGGGCTCTTCGTGGTCCCAGAGCCTTTGCACAGGCTGTACCCTCCACTTGCTGCTCTCATGGTTCTCCAAAAGTCTTCTTTGGTTCATGCATGACCCACCCAAGGGCAACCAACCAGGGGGCAGGTGCTCAGGCCCTGAAACCTCCCAGCATCTCCTCTGTGGTTGGCTGGATTACAAACTTCTGTTGCTGTGAAGGTGACAACCTCTATATGGGGACTCTGTCACTAGCCTAAGCCTGGCCCAAGCTTCTACTAAAGCCCCTCCCCTCTCTCTCAGGAGGTTCGCCCTAGTCACCTGGGCTGTGTGTGCTGAAGCCTGGGCAAGCTGAAAGTTCTCTCAGGGATACTGAGGAAGGACTGGACTGTTCTAAGCGAGTGCCTGGGCCCTGTTGGGTGTTGGGCCTCCCTGGCTCTGCACACTTCATGCCAGGAGCTTCCCCAATGAGGCAACCACTTCCACCTAGACCCATCTTTTAAATGCCCTCACTTGGCTTTTAGGAGGTTTGGGGGTACTGGTGGGGTGCTCCATTATGAACTGCATTCCTGGAATGGCCCCCAACAGACACTCACCTGCAAGATGTCCCAGGGCCAAATATCCCAGGCTGTAAAATTATGGAGTTGATAGCCACCCCACCTGCTAGGCTCCTAATGTCTGAGTTACCTTTTTTTTTTTTTTTTCTTTGATTTTTTGAGACAGTGTTTCTCTGTGTAGCTTTGGAGCCTGTCCTGGAACTAGCTCTGTAGACCAAGCTGTTCTCAAATTCACAGAGATCCGTCTGCCTCTGCCTCTGCCTCCCAAGTGCTGGGATTAAAGGTGTGTGCCATCACGTCCCGGCCTGAGTTTCCTTTTTTTTTTTTTTTTTTTTTTTTAAAGATTTTATTTATTATGTCTTCTGTCTGCGTACCAACAGAGGGCACCAGATCTCATTCAAGGCGGTTGTGAGCCACCATGTGGTTGCTGGGAATTGAACTCAGGACCTCTGGAAGAACAGTCACTCTTAACTACTGAGCCATCTCTCCAGCCCCTGAGTTACCTTTTTTAATTAAAAATTTTGATCACTTATTGTGTGTGTGTGTATATAAGGTTTGTGTGTGTTGAGGGGGAGAGCCCAGGCTTCAGCATGCATGGGGAGGTCAGGGACAACTTGCAGGAGTTGGCTCTCTCTTTCTCTCTCCAAATGGGCCCTGGGAATCAAAGTTAGGGCATCAAGCTTGGCAACAATCACCTTTACTTACTAAGCCCTATCACTGCCCCCCTTGAGCCACCTGTTGTGAAATGACTCAGGAGCCTGGGTTGGCAGCCCTATCCTTCCTGTTCCATCCCCTGGGTACCTGGATTAGGTTCCAATGGCGGAATTCAGAAGTCCCTTGGACCAGCAAGTAGAGCCTCTTCTTGGCCAGGATATGCTCCCGGCCCATGCACAGGGCCTGCACGAAGTAGGAGATGTGGCCGATCTTGCTGTTGAAGGTAGATGGAAGCCTGGGAGGTAAGTTGAAATGGAAGTCAAAGGTGTGGCTGCCTGCCCTTAACCAATTATCTGTAAGTGAAACACACCGAGGTCGTGCGTGAGAACCTTTCAGAACCTTGTCTGGTGGGAGCGCTGGGGCTGGGACCTAACCACTGAACCACACTCCCATGTTTGTTGATCGACAGCTGAGGACGATAGAACCTGCCTCCTTTTCTGTGAAAACTCTTCCTTCCTTCCTTCCTTCCTTTTCTTTTCTTTCTTTCTTTCTTTCTTTCTTTCTTTTTTTTTTTTTTTGGAGAGGGGGTTTCTCTGTTGGAGCCTGTCCTGGAACTCACTCTGTAGACCAGGCTGGTCTCAAACTCACAGAGATCTGCCTGCTTCTCTGCCTTCTGAGTGCTGGGATTAAAGGCGTGCACCAGCACCACCCAGTTCAGCTCCAAACCTTCTTATCGCCACCCTTCCAGAGCAATTTCCAAGACATCATAAACCTTATCTGTTGTATTCAGTGTTGTAGGCTCAATACTTAGCATGCATTTGGAAAACAGTAGGTGCTCAATAAATGCCTAAATAGCTGCATGAGTCATAGGGTGCTGTGTCTTTCAGGATGGGCTTGGCTGGCCTGAAGGTCACTATGTAGGATGATCCACACTCCTGACCTCTCCTGCCTTCCTCTTCAGTACCCAGGCGACAGGGCATCACTACCACACCTGGGTAACATGGTGCTGGGAATGGAACCCAGGGCTGGCTCTGTGCCATAGGCTGGCCCCAAACTTTCAGCAATCCTCCTGCCTCAGCCTCCAGAGTGCTACTGTGCCCAAGTTAGCTCTTTCAATGAAGAATTCCCAATACTTAGCATGGTGGCACAGAGTAAATCCCTTTCTTAAAAAAAAAAAAAAAGGTGCTGGCCATCACTCAGTAGTTAGAGCACTGGCTGCTCCCACAGAGGACCCAGATTCGGTTCCCAGCACCCACATGGCAGTTCACACCAGCTGTAATTCCAGTTCTTGGGATCTGTTGCTCTCTTCTGACCTCCTTGGGCACCAGTACACACATGGTGCACAGACAGATACGCAGACAAAATATTCATGCATATAAAAAGTGAATATTAAAAACAAAACCAGGGCATGATGGAGCACACTTTTTTTTTAATCTATTACTTCCGTTTTCTTAAAATTTTTTTTTAAGAAATTGTCTTTATTTACTTATGTATACAGTGGTCTGCCTGCATGTCAGAAGAGGGCACCAGATCTCATTGCAGATGGTTGTGAGCCACCATGGGAATTGAACCCAGGACCTCTGGAAGAGCAATCAGTGCTCCTAGCCACTGAGCCATCTCTCCAGCCCTAAATTTTTTTTAATTTATTTTTTACATTGCAATCCCAGTTTCCCCTCCATTCTCTCCCCCCCCATCTGCTCCTCGGAGAGGTTGAGGCCTGATGGAGCAAACTTTTAATCCCAGCACTCAGGAGGCAGAGGCAGCAGAATCTCTCTAAGTGCAAGGCCAGCCTGGTCTACAGAGAGAGTGCCAGGACAGTCAGGGCTAGTAGTGAGACCCTGTCTCAAAAACAAAACAAATCAAAACACCCCAAACTTGGAAACCCTGTGAATACCCACAATAACCCAATAACAGAGTCTAGGAAGGAAACAAAGTTCCTAGGATGGTCAGGGTGAAGTGATGTAAGGTGTAAGCCCCTCCCCAGAGGACCTCCAACAGCCAGGTTCCACCCACAGAACACTTTAACTGCCCCAATAGCTGGACCTACAGAGTAAAAAGCCCAAGCTCTGGACTTGAAATCCTACCAATCCCCACCCTGGAAATTTCTGTCCCCATCCCCAAGAAACTCTATGTAAGTCCTGCCTCCTGTTCAGTTCCCTGATGTTTCTTGCTCAAGCAGAGGCCGCACACTCCTGTTTTTTTCCCCTCCCAATAAATCTCTTGTGTGAGGTTTTTTGTGCGGTGTAACTTTGTGGTATTCCTTGGCTCCTGACTGCCAGGATACTTCAGAGCTGGGTTGTCAGGGTTGAGAATCTTTGTCTTCAGTTTTCTGTCCTCCCCTCCTCCCATATGACCTTCAGAACTCCTTCCTGGGTCTCGTTGAGTCTCGGTACCAGAGAGAGATGTTTGTTCATGAAAGCTAACTTGAATGGTGTCTCAGAGAGCCACTCACAGCCATTTGTGGGACTGAATAGAGAGAGTACCTCCCAAGAGTTCACTTTGGATGTCTGTGTCCTCATTGGTTCCCTTATATTCATATCTTCACCCTGGTCATTATTTAACATGACTTCCCTCTGCCTATCTCTAATCTATGTCATGATACTCCTAAGGGTTTGTTGATTGACAAGCAGATTTGTTTACCTTCCTGCCCCAGGCTTCTGGTCACATTCTTACCTTTTATTGGGAATGTCTTTATTTTATGTACGTAATCTGCTTTATTATTGCAAATAACATCTCTGCTATAATCGCGGGTCTCTCCGACTTCTTCGTTCCACTCAACGTAACCCCTACCGACAAGCTCCACCTTCACAACAGGGTCCACTAGGGTACTGTTGAGGATGAGGACCACCTGCCCGTCTATATTCGAGCCGGCCAGGTAGACTGCATCTTTGGGCAGCACTACCTCGATGGACTTCACCACAGTCATGGGAGGTTGGGCGGGGGGAGACACATCCTTCCCCTCACCCAGATCTCCCTGGGCTTCTCAGCTGTGGTGACCTCTGTGACATCACTGCACCCAGAGTTCTGGGAAGGGAAACAGGTTCTCTGTTAGGACAGGCTGGCCTCGAGCTCCTGTATCCAAGGATAACCCTGAACTACTGATCCCCCTGCCTCATCTCTGGGATCATCATTCCCCCAGTCCTGACTCTTGCTTCCTCGGATATCATAGAAAACCAAAACCCTCCAGTCTGGGCCTGGAGCTCCAGGCCTTCCACATCAACTCAGGAGGCCATGGCAGGGAGCTCAAAGGAGTTCAAGGCTAGCCTGGGCAACTTTGTGTGACAATTGAAATAAAATAAGCCAAAAGGGTTGGGGGCTTATGCCTTTAATCCCAGCACTTGTGAGGCAGGAGGATTGCCATGTTTGGGGTCAGCCTGGGGCGTGTAGTTTCTGGACACTGAAGCCTGAGTCAGATGTCCTGATGCTACATGGGAAGATCCTGTTTACTGTCTGTGGTCTGTCTTGACTTGCCTTGCATGATTGCTTTTGTAGGCAGTGATGTCATGTCCCCCTGTTTCTTATTTAAATGAAAAGTTAAATATATTTTTATTTGTGTGTGGGCACATGCATGTGAAGGTTGAAAGTCATGGAAGTCAAGTTTTCTTTCACTATCTGTGTTCAGTGATTGAACTCAGGTCTTGGTGGCAAGCACCTGTACCCGTGTATCTGTTGAAGCCACCTTGTATACCCTGATTATTATTATTACTATTATTTAGTTTTTTTGAGATGGGGTTTCTCTGTGTAGCCCTGGCTGTCCTGGAACTAACTCTGTAGACCTCCAACTCATAAAGATCTACCTGCCTCTGTCTCTTGAATGCTGGGATTAAAAGTGTTCCCAATTTTTATTTTTATTATTTATTTTAGATTTTTTGAGACAGGGTTTCTCTGTAGCTTTGGAGGCTGTCCTGGAACTCACTATTTAGGACAGGCTGGCCTCGAGCTCACAGAGATCTGCCTGCCTCTGCCTCCCCAGTGCTGGGATTAAAGGTGTTCGGCACCTAAACCCCAGCTCCAGTTTTTAATGTTAATTATTTTATTGTTTGCAATTTTGAGACAGGGTCACATGTAGTCTAGGTTGGCCTGGAATTTGCCGTGTAACTGAAGATGAAAGTGGGTCCTCCTGCCCCACTTTCCATGTGCTGGGGTACCAGGTGTGTACCACCAGGCTATGCAATCTGGGACATCCTTTGCCATACTTGTAAAGTCTACCTTATTGTAGAAGGTCCTTTCCCCCAAAATCTTAGAGCTGAGGGCCTGGATACTGTTGAGGGTCACAGGGGGGTACCTGAAACATCTTTGGAGGAACAGCTTTGTAAGAACCCCCAAAATGGGCCAAGTGTGACAGTGCACCTGTTAGCCAGAACTAGGCAAGTGGAGACTCTAGAGTTAAAGTCGTCTTTGGCTACAGAGCAAGTTGGAGGCTAGCCTGGGCTATGTGAGACCCTTCTCCTAAAAGCAAAAACAAACAAAAATTCCAAGTTTTCTGCTAAGGACCACCAAGGTAGAGAAGGAAGAGAATGAAGCCCTTCCCATGGCCTCTGAGGTCTTACCTGTTCTTTGTCCCACCCCAGGGGCCTTCTCTGGCCCCCCCACTCCAAGCCTTCTCCACATCCCATGTGTCCTTGGCGTTTCCCAGCGGAAGTGTCTCCATCCCAGCCCCCATGTGGCCGCTGGTCACTTCCGACCTCATGGCTTGTGATTGTACCTGGAATCGTCCTCTAGACTTATTTTTCTTATTGCTTCTTTCCCAGAATTTGCTTTGCCAGAGACCCCAAATACTGGAGGGGAGGGCGTGCCTCGAATGAGGTTGGGTCCCGAAGCTCTGGTCTCTCTGTTCATCAGTTACTGCTGATGCCCAGAGCCGAGTGCCCGCCAAGAATGGTCAGAATGGAGCAGGCCGGGGCAGAGGGGGCAGGGAGGCGCTGCCCGCCTGGACAACTTGCAGAAGGCGGGAAAAACCAGGCGCGGGAGGCGGGGAGCCCTTCTGGTGGGTAGCATGGGTGGGGGCACTAGTAGCACCCTTATGGATGCTACTCACTGTGCTCAGTGCGCCTGGGGGTGCTCAGGATACGGGGTGCAGGGTATCTGGAGGGGAGGCACCCCTCAAGCTCCCATGGGGCCTATGGTCAGAGACTCGGGTCATAGATTTAACAGGTCAAAGTGTGTCCAGCCGAGGGGGAATGGGCCTGTACAGAGGTCAGGGTTCTTTGGGGGCGCAGTCCCTTCCGGGATTCCTATGTGGTTTGCATGCTGAAGAACCTGGGTCTTGATAAACAGGGAACAGCGAACAGGGCAGGTCCGTGGGCCGCTGGGCGGAGCCGGGGGTGGGGTAAGATACCCAGTCGTGGGACGCCCCCACTCTCTTTCTCGCTTCCCGCCACAGCGCGAGCCAATCAGGAATCAAGAGCCCGCCCCCCCTCCACCCATTAGGGTGGCAGACTCTCCCACAGCAGCCTGTGCATACTTCTAAAAAACGCCCTGAATTTTCGCGGGAAAAAAAACCTAGCAGCTGGAAGGATCGCGCGCTCCCGGGCTCACTCAAGTCCTCTGCCACTCACGCGGCTCTCAACTCGGCCACCCAGCTCCAGGGCTCCTGAGCGGGAGCAGGCACTCCAGGCGAGAGGATAGTGCGGATCGCCGCCGCGAGAGGTGAGTGGGTTCCAGAGCGGCTGGGCGCGCAGGGGGGCGCGGCCGGCCGGGCACCCACGCGTGGCCGCGGGGCTTGCTTCCGGGGGTCCGAGGTCTTCCACCCTGGACCCTCTTCCTGGCTAGCAGCACAACGTTGACGGCCCGAGTTGGGGGGGTGCTTTGCAAACTTTCCCGCGCGTGGGATGAGATTTATAGAGAGCTATTGCCCACGCGTGCTTCCGCACCGCCTGTAAGGGAAATCAGAATTGTATCTGCCACGCTGGGTCCCCATCTCTGGCCCGGAGCACACGATTATACCCCAAAACTTGGCAAAAGTTTCCCGCGCGTGTCTCCGGGCAGGGCAGAGAGCCATGGCGCATGCGTGCTTCTCTGTCTTTTGAGGGGCAACCTGAGGGGCGTCCTCCACACTACACCCGGCTTTTTACCCTCCCGGGTGCCACTAAGTCCGAGGGAAACGCGTGGGGTCCGGCGGGGGGAGTACACGCGGCTCCGCGCCTGCGCGCGGACGCTCCCCGCGATTCAATTGTCGCGCTCGAGTCCGGTTTCGCGCGCCCTGGCCTCTCCGAGTACGTGTCGACCAATCGCGTGCGAGGAGGGCGGGGCGTGCGACCCGGGCGCAGCCAATCAGCGGTGGGCTCTCCGGGCAGGGCGGAACTTAAACGGCGCGGCTCTGGGGGTCCCACCCCGCCGCCGGCGGCGGGT